CAGTGGTGCTATTATTACTGAATTTTGGATTTTGCTTTCGGCTTATTGCATCACCAATGCACCTTCTAATGGTACTGTGTATGTAAGGACTGGCAGTTATAATATTAACAAAGACGATCAATTTGTACATAACGTGCCAATCAAGCAAATGATTGTTCATGAAAAATACGAAGGGTGAGACATTCCTATATGTTATTGCACAAACTTAGTCGTCGGCATAATTGTTGGAAAGAATCGTTTAAATTTTTAAAACTCAATTTATTATCTCAATGAAGATACGTAGAGTAAAAAACGTTATACCAATTTCAATTTTTTGGTAAATTTACGTTTAATTCGTACAGAGTACGTAAGTTCTTTAATTATTGATGCTAGTCTAGTTAGTTTTATCATAATACATTAAAAATTAATTATAAACAAGAATTGTACTCGTTTCCAATACAGTGTAATATATGACATTGGTTGCTTTATAAATAAAATCTTGCATATACTTAAACTTTATCTTATTTCGTATTTTATAATTAATTATTATTATGATATAAATTTATCACTTTTGAAAAGAGTATTGAAAACGAATATTACCAGTTCAGAATAGGTATATCCGAAGCACTTATCGGTTAGAATACTAATTATGTCATCGTGTGGAGAATGCAGATTAGTTATGTTAAAATTCTGGCGTTGAAGATTTTTGACAAAAAGTAAAAGAAAAATGTCAATTAGGGCAAAAACACTGAAAACCCTCGCTTGCTACGACATCGGTCTGATCCAATTAGGAAAACAGCTGGACTTTGATAAACGAGTGCAGCCCATCCTAATGGCGAAATCCAAAACCTGGTCATATGAGATCAAATTGGGTGACAATGTGATCTTGAGTGGCTGGGGCTCGATATCCTACGGTGCTCTATCTGATCATCCGGACATAATGCGCACCGTCAATGCAACTATTATTTCCAACAACGAGTGCGAGAATGCTATCAAGAAGATCTGGCCTCAATTCAGAATATCTGAAATGCAGATATGCACGACACCTTTGGACGGGAGCCTCGGAGCGTGTATTGTAAGTATATTCATTTTCTAAGGATAACAATGAGATTGCCCATCTGCCTAAAATGTGTTATAAAATGAATTATTATTGTTGATAAATATTATATAATTGGTGTAAAGTTATATTTTATTGCATTGATTGCGATTAGGATTCACCTTTTTATATGCTTCGATATTGTAAAAACAGTTGCTTCATCGAGAATGATAATCGACAAATTTATACTCCCATGTTCGCAATTACATAATGAAATCTACTATACATGTCAGAATATTTATACATTGAATCTCACGATTAACAGCAAATCGATTAAACATAAGGTAACTGCTATATACGTTATAAATTAAGCTGTATATGATATTTAAATTCTTAAATAGGACATAACATAATATTCTAATGGCGGACGATATTTAAATTAAATCTCAGACAATCGAGCCTTCGATTTAATGAGAACTATGAAAATTAACGTAATTTCCTTCCTTGCGTATGACAGGGTGACATTGGAGGTCCACTTATTTACCACGAAAAAGTTGATGTAATACCGGTGCTAGTGGGTATATCCAATTGGAACTCGGAGCCCTGCAACAAAAATGGCTTGCCTCCTGTTTACACAAAAGTTGAATATTTTCTAGGTTGGGTCGAGCAGAAGCTGAAAGAGAATTGTAGTCGACCGTCTGGTTAAATTAATCGTAAATACATTTATTTGTATGGATGATGTATCACATGTCAGTCGATATCCTCTTTCTGTAGCTTCTAAATAGCTTAACTGACAAACTAATTTTAGCTGCTTAATTTTATACGATAAAATAAGTGATTTGTGCTTTTTTTTTCTTTCGTAACTGATTTTAAGCGGTACGTGGTGTACTTATTTGCTTCTTACATTTTCATCAATTAGAATTTCAAAAATTAGTTGCTGTATAATGTTTAGTCAAAATTACGTGTTTCATTAAAACGTTCATTCGTGCGACTAGCTTTATCAAATGTTAATACACAAATGCGCGCAATGTTAAGAATTGACTCGAATCAGTTGATAACAATTATCATATGATTGCTAGTGTGCATAAACAAAAACTGTTCAAAAACAATTTATCTATTGCTAGGTTAAATTAATACAGATTACGAAGCCTTCTAGGATTGTGAACCTTTGAAGGTCCTATGAACCCAACGATAGCTTATGCAAAGCTACTGTAGCTTTGTTGTGCAAACAATAGATAATTTCTGGCAACTTCTTTGCTGTCGAAAAATTGTTACCATCAAGATATTTGAATTAAATTAATCCTACAAAATCACTTCGAATTTTACGACATAT